CGACTCTTCCAAGTCCCACCACCTGCCAACCCCTGTCCTGACTCCTTCACCTGCACCCCCTGCCCTCAGCATTCCCACACTTTCCAACCCCATACCCTGACTTCTGCAGCCTCCACTCCCTGCCCTGATCCCCCCAGCCTGACTCCTTGCTCTGAGTCCCCCCACACTCAAACTCCTACTCTGCCTGTTGCACCCTCCCTCACTCCTTGCTCTGAGCCCCATCATTTAAATAAAGCACATACATTTTCCTTTTAACCCCCTGCCCTCAGCATTCCCACACTTTCCAACCCCATACCCTGACTTCTGCAGCCTCCACTCCCTGCCCTGATCCCCCCAGCCTGACTCCTTGCTCTGAGTCCCCCCACACTCAAACTCCTACTCTGCCTGTTGCACCCTCCCTCACTCCTTGCTCTGAGCCCCATCATTTAAATAAAGCACATACATTTTCCTTTTAATTTCCAAAAAACAACCCTCCCGCCACACTATTACTAAAGATCAAGAACTGAGCCATGCTAGGTACAGCTGCTAGAAGTTTACTAAGAAAAGTGAAATGAGTATAGTCTGAACATTACTAAATTGAATATTACTAAGTCCGAACATTACTAAAGTGTAAAAATATAAAATCATAGATGTTTTAATGTAAGGCAGTGGAAAAAGAACAGCATTTTAATCTATGCCATCTTCATTGCATTAACTTTCTTTTTATATGTAAGACCAATTGGTCATCTTTATCTCACTCTTACTATGTTCAGTTGCTTGTTAAGTTCCAAGAGCTGGGAACGCAGCACAGCATTCTCTGTGGTCAGAGATGCATAATCATCCATCATTTTACTTCTTAAGAAACGATCTTGCTCTGCCAGTAGATCTTTCTCTCTTAATTGCTGATGAAGAAAACTCATCTTACTTCTGATCAGATAAAACACAGAGAAAAATGATATTTGTTAAAAAATGTTCCACCTGAAAATGACAAGCAAGCCATATTTTTAAAGACACATATGACATTGAGAGAGTTGTATAAAATGTCCTAACATTAAGATCCAGTTATAAGGATTGTGTAATAGGTTCTTAGTGTTAGGACATTTTATACAGCTTTCTGAATACTCTAAATTATCTCATTAAAACAAGCTCTTTCCATGAACATTGTTAGTTATATTATACAATCTACTTAGGTCTGTTTGTTAAAAATTATTTCCAAAAATAAGGATGAATCACCGGTAAAGCACATCTTACTTGTAGGAGGACATAGTGTTGTAACAATCAAGACTCACGTACTGTCTTTTTTTTTCTCTCAAAACAAGGACATTAGCAATATTCTAGTAAAATATATTACACAGTTTAAAAGCCCTCAAGACACTCAAGTGAAAATTAAAAAAATCAGTTAAAAATTATTTAAATGTCATAATTGAACACTCACAAGATATTCCCTTCCCACACAAATACTACTGTTTGACGTTTCTAAAGCTCTGAAGGTATGTACTATGACAAATCATTTTTATTTTGAGGCCAGATTTGATCTGGCTGATTTGGAGCATCTCAAACAACCCATAGGAGCAAAAGCAGACTGGTCAGTTCAGCTGGGTTTCCAGCTGTTTTGCATTGCCTGAACAACACAAAATAGCTGGAGGACACACTCTCATTTTCCCCTTCCACATATGCTCCTCTTTCCCCTGCCCAAATACACATATCCTTGTTTCCCTCTCACATGCACTCAGAGGGGCAGTCTCCCTTCTGTACCTGTTTTACCACTCACACATAAGTTTTCCTCTCTCTCATGATTCTCACCTTCCACATCTCTCACATGATCCAGTTCCTTATATTCTGCACCTCACATACACACCCTTAGTTTACTATGTTTCTACTGAGCCAATCAGCTGCAATGATTATTTTTAGAAGATTATTTAGGATTAATGTTCATTTTTTTTCATTATTTTTCATAGCTGAGAATCAAAAATACTGTCTTTTAGAGAAATTCAACATCTCTGCTCCTGTTTCTGGAGCTCTTCATCCCACTCTCTTAAGCCAGAGGCAAAGGGCTGATGCAATGTTCTCTTCTTCCCCTTCCAGACTGGGTGAACAGGCAGGCACAGGAGTTCTTCAGCCCCTCTGCCCTCCCTAGCCTGGTGTTAGAAGGAAGGCACATGCAGAGAAGAGCTTTCTGTTTGTTCACAGAAGTGGAGGGGGGATGGATTGCAGCTGCCCTAGGCTGCTGGGCTCTTCTTGTTCCCTTCTCCCTTCCTGTGAAAATCATGTTCACTCCTAAGGGGAGAGGAAGAAAACTCCACTAACTTCCTACAGTAGTTCCAAATGGCTGCTCTTTCCCAAAAGGAACCCTGTAATTTTTAAATTAAGCAAATTCCTGAAAGGTGCTAAATTGTTGACTACATGGACTAAATCTAACCATTTATTCCTTACAACACTACAAGTGGAGCTACTTTGCAAGCTCTCTTATCCATTTGTTTGTGTCTTCATTTTTCACTCTATTAAAATAGTGTATCTTTTTTTAGTAAATGGGGATGAACTGAAAGCAGTACATCATGATTCCCTGTAATATGTCAAAAAATGGGTGCAAGCTGAAAGCGACCCCATCCACAATAAAGACAAAAACCAGTAACCTAACACTGAATGGGTCAGTAAATCAATACCAGGACCATCCTTCAAAACCTGCCCAATACCTGATGTCATGTGTGATCTTGTCTTGCATCATTGCTGTTTTTTTAAACATTTTGTCTTCCATTTCATGCATAGCAAACTGCACTTTCATAAGTTCCCTTCTCTTTTCAGAAAGCTGCATCTCTAATGCCTTCTGCTGCTCTGACCGCTGTTTCAGCTTGGTGTCCACATATATGAAAGGAGATAAAGTTACAGGTTAATGAAGACTGAGATTCAGGCTTATTGAATATTTCTTTCTAAAATAACTATAAAACATACGTCATTCATTGAGTAGTTCCCATAAATAGGTTAAAACTGGTTTGACTACTACAAAACTGTCCAGTAGTCTAATTCAGCGTTTCCCAAACTATGGGCCGTGGCCTGCTACTGGGCCACAGGAAAAAACTACCGGGCCTCAGCGTGGTTGCCAGGGTGTTCTGCACTCCCGGCGTGCCTGTGTGGCGCCGGGTCCCCCAAGCCCTCGTCCGGCCTGGATGGAATCTGCAGCTGGATGTTCTGACTCCCGGAAGAGTCCTAGCTAGGGGAGGGTGGAGGGAGGAGGAAGAGGAGGGGAGAGCAGCACTGGATGAGGGAAATCGGGGCAGGGCAGGCTGGGGAGATTGGGGGGGGTAGTGGCACGAGGTCGTGGATAGGAGCTGGCCAGGGAAGATGGGATGGGGGAGAAGTGGCCGCCGGAAGCAGGGCTGGACGCGGGCAGCGGGGCTGGCCAAGGGAGATTGGGAGGAGAAGTGGGGGAGAACTGGCTCTCTGGGAGGGAGTTGAGGGAAGTGGGGCTGGCCAGAGGCACAGTGTGGGGAGCAGGGGGGAGGAATGAATCAGCCTGTGGGGGGTGGGGCTGACCCGGCCATATGTAGATCGCTGCCCCCCCACCCCGCAAAGCACGAGTTAGTCCGGCTCGGGGATTCTGTTGTTCCCCCCCCACACACACACCCTTGAGCAGTTGCGAACTGGCTGGCTGGTAAACACACTCATGCAGCCTGAGCACATTTGTCAGCCAGGCAGTTAGAAACTACAAACTGATACATCTAGTACTAACAACACTTACCTAGTGAGAAAAGCTGCCCCCCCACCCCGCAAAGCACGAGTTAGTCCGGCTCGGGGATTCTGTTGTTCCCCCCCCACACACACACCCTTGAGCAGTTGCGAACTGGCTGGCTGGTAAACACACTCATGCAGCCTGAGCACATTTGTCAGCCAGGCAGTTAGAAACTACAAACTGATACATCTAGTACTAACAACACTTACCTAGTGAGAAAATACTAGACATGTTATATGTCTGGTATTTTCTCAGTTTGTTTTCTATGTGTTTAAATTTTTGGGCTGCAAAAAACAGTACTGAAAAAAAGGGTTCCAACTAAAGTAAAAAGTTTGGGAAACCCTGGGCTAACAAGCTTTCTGTCTGTCTTACAGTCCATTTATCCAATCCATATTCCTTAACTTGCTGGCAAGAATATTGCAGGTGACTTTGCTAAAGCTAGCACTGGGGGTTTTGGGAGGACCAGAAACAACTTATTTGAATATTCATCATTTGATTAATGAATATGCAAATGAATTGTACCAGTCCTCCAAAAGTTCATGCATGGATTTACTGGTCCCCGTGTCAAAAAGTTTGGGAACCCCTGGTCTAATTCCTTTATTGTCTTATCATAATTAGATGATGACTCTTGACCAGGTACATAAGCTCAAATGGCAGGGGTTTGTGCTTTTGGAAGTGAAAGGACTAACTTCAGTCCCAGTTCCCGAATGTGGTATCTACATATATGTGTTAGGGTTTGTTATATGGATACTTGAGAAAATATATGTATAATGAGAGCTTGTAATATGTATTTTTATATATCTATTATTTTAACATTTCCTGATCAACAAGCATTTTCAATTCAAATAAGTGTCTCCATTAAATTGCACCACAGATACAAATATTTGAGCAATGAATTTGTGTTTATTTAATGTAACCATTTACCAAAATAGTGAAAAAACAGAAAAGAGAAATGAAGATGAGGTAGAGTTACTGGGATCCTGCAAATACTTATACATGCCAGCAATTTTATGCACAATTAGTCCTATTGATCTAGCTGGAGAAATAAAATTCCGACAATGCATTAGTACATTTTAAACTCTGCGAATACTACTTTGCATTTTTGGTGCTTTGTTCTTGTTCATTTAACATCACAAACGTCTCCTAAACTATTTAAATTGTTTGTATAGCCTTAAATGCACAGATTGAATTAATGAAATGTAGACCTGGCCAAATATTGTCATTTATAATGTTTAGAATGTGGCAGCACCCAGAAGCTACACCAAGACTAGTCCCACTTTGTGCTAAGAAATGTACAAACAAGTCAGAGATCCTACTTCAAACAATGTAGGGCTTGTCTACATTAGCAAGCTTCTTGCTCAGGAGTGTGAAAAAAACCACCCCTCAAGCACAGCAAGTTACAGTGCTGAAAAGCCCCAGTTAAATAGGCTCCTAGCACAGGGAGATATGCCCGTCATGGAGGTAGTTTACATAGAATGCTGGGAGAGCTTTTTCCCAGTACAGGTGCTGTGACTACCTTGTCCCGTTAAATCTCTGTTGAGGCAGCACTTGAAACTCAGAAGCATAGTCAAAACCTTACACGCTACAGGCTCAGTCCTGTGCCAGCTGAAGTCAATGCACAACTATTTTCAGCAGTGCAGGATTAGGCCTTTGAGGCCTTGGGCAGATGCACTGCAGGATCAAGAACTAAAACTCAGTCCACTCATTTGAACCATACACAAGTAACTGTTACTTCTGCTGGTAATTCATGCTACTGTGATAGCCACAGTATCCCTGTACTTAGTATTCAAAGGGAATACTATACTATGAACATTGTGGTATAAATCTACTTGTAAAAGCCTCTAAACACACAGGCTACGTCTACATTGGCACCTCTTTCCGGAAAAGGGATGTTAATGAGACGAGTCGGAATTGCAAATCCACGGGGGATTTAAATATCCCCTGCGGCATTTGCATTTACATGGATGCCGCTTTTTTCCGGCTTGGGGATAAGCCGGAGAAAAGCGCCAGTCTAGACGCGATTCTCCGGAAAATAAGCCCTTTTCCGGAGGATTTCTTATTCCTACTTTCAAGAGTCCTACTTTCAAGTAGGAATAAGAAATCCTCCAGAAAAGGGCTTATTTTCCGGAGAATCGCGTCTAGACTGGCGCTTTTCTCCGGCTTATCCCCAAGCCGGAAAAAAGCGGCATCCATGTAAATGCAAATGCCGCAGGGGATATTTAAATCCCCCGTGGATTTGCAATTCCGACTCGTCTCATTAGCATCCCTTTTCCAGAAAGGGGTGCCAATGTAGACGTAGCCCTAGTGTATAGTCCCACGACAGAGTTATTTAACAATGTACAGGATCTAGAACGTATGATCATATGAATTGTACTGGAAACGATGGGGAAAAGTGTGGGATGCTGGATTCTGTACTGATTGTAGGATGAGTGCTAATGAAATGAAAAGTACATCCTGGGTGTGACTTTGTCTCTATAAATACAAAGGAGTAGAATAGCTCAGTGGTTTGAGCATTGGCCTGCTAAACCCGGGCCTGTGAGTTCAACCCTTGCGGAGACCATTTAGGGATTTGGGGCAAAAATTTGTCAGGGATGGTACTTGGTCCTGCTATGAAGGCAGGCAACTGGACTCAATGACCCAGTCCCTTACAGTTCTAGGAGATAGACAATCTCCATTAAAGGGGAAAAGAGCAAGAGAGAGCTGAATTTAGAGGTGATGTGTAAGGTGGTAGAAATCTGTTCCCCTGGGGTTCAGCTAGATTCCCTTGTTCATTGACTCTGTACCATTTTCAAAAAAATGTCAGTTTAATGAGTGGAGTTTGAAGCACTATGCAGGATCAGATCACTAATTCTGATTAATAATGATTCCACACAAAGCTCACTGCATGATTTTTCAGTGTATTATAAAAGGATTTTATTATAATAGCTGTATATTTAAAAATGAGACTATAAATTGCAAAATGATGATTTTTTTCATGACCAACTGAAGTCCATCTAATATATTAACTGCAATAAATATATAACAGGTTCCTATTAAAATCTCTTCCCTGTCACAACACACAAGAAATCAAATCCCATAAATGCAGGCTGTATACCTTTGATTGTATCATAAGGATTTTCTGTTCACAATTACTCAGATTGGTTTGTTGCTGTTCTAATTCCTGCTTGGCATGCAATAGCTCCATTTCTTTTTTAGATGCCTGTCTGTCTGTCTGTTCCTTCCTGCGCTTCAAATGTATGATCTCTTCTGCTAAGGCCTGCTTCTCTCTAGAATGAAGTTCTAAAAGAAGGAAAGAGAAATTTTAATGGTTTTGAGTTTTTTCAGCATAAACCGGTTGACATTTTTATTGGTAAGCAAACATTGTAGAGGTTGGACCTCCCTGTTCCAACACTCTAGGGATTTGACCAGTCCCAGACAAAGGAGTTTGCCGGACCATGGGAGATCTGGGAGTGATGGGCACCATCCTCCCCACTGGGCTCCTCTTCCCAGCGACCTGGCACCGTTGCCCCTGGCACTTTGCGGCAACCCTGTGGGATCTGCATCCCTACAAACTCTGGCGGGCTCTGCAAGAATATAAAATCTGTGGGTTTTCCAAGAAAGCCAAAATGTCAAAATTCGATACGATTTTTTGTTAAAATGGCTGCCAAAAGATCTTAAGGCTCTGAAACTTCCCTCTTTGCTGTGCCAACAGTCATGAACAAAAGGCAAATTTTATTATTCTTACCGCCATTAAATTTTATTGTGAACAACAACAAAGAATTGTTACAAGCTACAAGGAGACTAAATGAGATCTGACTTTAGGATTACCATAGAAAACTTGGGGAGGAAAGGAGAGATACTAGAGAAAAAATGTGTAATATTTCCCTTTCTCCCAGTATATTTATTTTATCTGTTTAGTGTATAAGCTCTTTGAGACAGGAAAAATGCATCTTCATAAGTCTATCTATAGTGCCTACTGCATTCAGGGCACTATAGCCATTCAAACACATCTACTATCTAGGGGTATGTCTACACTACCCCGCTAGTTCGAACTAGCGGGGTAGTGTAGACATACCCATAGCGCATCATGAAATAGGATCTGGGAAGGGAGGCTGTGGCCAACACCAAGTTCAGGTGGGTACTCTATACCCTGGGTGGGGACCAGGGTTGACTTGGCCATGTTCAGGAGCAACCCCAGCTCTTGAAAAAAGTCCTGCACTAGAGTGATGTGAGCAAGCAGCTGATCCGAAGAAGAAGCTTGGAGAAGCCAGTCATCCAGGTAGGGGAACACTAGACATCCCGCTTTCTCAGGGCAGTGGCCACAATGGCCATGTACTTTGTGAATACTCGAAGGGCTGTACAAAGGCCAAAAGAGAGGGCCATAAGCTGATAGTGGTCCTGGCCCACTATAAAGCAGAGGAACCATCTGTGATGCAGTGTGATAGTAATGTGGAAGTAGGCATCTTTTAGATCAAGGGTAGTGTACCAATCTTTGGGTATGTCTACACTACCCTCCTAGTTCGAACTAGGAGGGTAGTGTAGACATACCCTAGTTTAGAGAGTTTGTCTTTTGATTAAGAACTCCTACTCAACTGTAGAAGCTAGGACTACCAAATTTGGTATACAGCTTCCTCTTATCATAACTTAAAGCAACGTAAGGTTTAGTTGTGCCAGGAAAATGTAATGTGCCTGGAATGGAATTGCTTCTCATAAAACAAAACAGAAAAGGAGAAAGAATCAGCAAATCAAGTTCAGTCCTCAAAATTGACATAACTGCTGAAGACTGACTCAAGATGAGCCAGAAAAATAAGATGTACCTGGAATAGTATCTTTGTGGGGGCTTAGTCTGGGGGACTGAGTTTTTGAGACCTTAAGTCAGCTGACATGGGCACTAAGACTAGGTGCTGCAGTGTTTTATTTAAAATTGCAGTATAGACATACCCTTAATGTCAGAAGATTTTCTGAAAATTACCCTTAAAACATACATTTTACATCAGGCATTTCTTCTGTTTGATTTAATAAGAAAGCCCAGAAAATACAGATGAATAAAATAAAACAAAAAGCCTTCCATGTATGTATACTTATATTGCATGTTACTATGAGTAGAGCCCTACAAAATTCATGGTCCATTTTCGTCAATTTCATAGTCATAGGATTTTTAAAAAAATAATAAAGTTGTTAATTTCAGCTATTTAAATCCAAAATGCAATGGTGTCAAACTTGTAGCGATCCTGACTCAAATAGGAGTTCTGGGGTGGTCAAGGTCATTGTGGGGGGTTGGGTACTGCCACCCTTACTTCTGTGCTGATGCTGGGGACAGCCTTGCCTTGAGAACTGGGCAGCTGGAGAGAAGTGGCTGCTGGTCAGAATCCCAGCTCTGAAAACAAATCAGTTGCCAGCAGCAGTGCAGATATAGGGAGAGTATGGTATGGTATGACCATCCTTATTTGTGCATTGCTGCATGCAGAGCTAAGCACCTGGTCAACAGCTGCCATGCTGCAGCCAGCCAGCTCTGAAGGCAATGTAGAAGTAAGGGTGGGAATACTGTGACCTCTATGCAACTTCCTTTTGGGTGAGGACCCCCCAGTCTGAAAATGCAAAAAGACCTTATTTCAAAGGGGGAGACCAGATTTCACAATCCATGATGTGTTTTCCACGGTGGTGAATTTGGTAGGGCCTTGACTATGAGATTTGATCTGACTATTCCCTCCTTACCACAATGAACTGTTGATCTGCAATAGCAATACACAATTTTACCACTTGATGGTGCCAAATATATTTTAAAAGACTTTAAAAAAAATCACATTTTGCCATGCTGCTTAAGCTCCAGTGTGAACCTCTGTGGTTATAGTTTACGGTAATAGACTTGCTTGAAATTCACCAACCCCCTTTTTTCTTTACATTTCTATGATCATTTTTTCCTTATTCATGTGACTAGAGTTGGATGGAACTCTGAATGTGTCAAAACTACAGTATTCCAAGCTGTTATGCAAAACATCCATATTCACTAAAAGAAAAACGAAAAGAAGGCAAATCTTTCAACATCATCTTAGCAAGCAAAAAATTACATACTGTATCTGTGTATATGTTATTTGATTGCCCTCTCAATTATTAAATTTTAAAATGTTAAATAACAATATTCTTGGAACACCTGAGATTAGGGATGTAAAATCCCAATTACTCAGTTAATCGGTTAAACATTAGGCTAAACTGGTTAACTGACTAAGTGGAATCCAAGCTGGGGACCACTCCAGCCCAGCTGAAGCAACCCCCAGCCCATAGAGCTCCTGCTCCTAGCCCCGCGTGGGCTGCCAGATCCCACCCTCATGCTGTGGCTGCGG